CTCGACACCAGCGCGTCCGCCTGCGTGTTCATGTCTACACACAAACATAAATACATATTTACTATGCAAAACAAACTAATAAATCTGTTTATTAATATTACATTTGCGTAAAATAGATTAGTAGGAATATTGCACTTCGAGGTTATATATTATTTATGCTGGGTATTTAGTATAAAGGAAAAATAATAATTAAATCCACATATCGTCAAAAGATTACATATTCAACAAAATTAACTCGGCAAAAATTTTACTTAGTTACAAATATAAGTTTTTAGTATTATACTAGTTTTCCACAATCACTCTACTATGACAATTGTTAAATGGAATTTGAATTCACCCACAAAGCAGTAGAATGTTGGTCATCTCTTGTGTATATTATTGTTGTTTGTAACAAAAGCTGGTACTATTGATAAACATTTGTCATTGTTTATTGTATTGTTTATGAATTCATTACACTTTTGCTGCTGCCGAGACATTACAGATTGAGATAGTTAAGTGGCCACACTTGTTGCGACTCAAAGTGAAAGTGTTGACAAACTATACCAAGAAAGTGAAAAGATAAATTCTAATATTGCGTTAAGCTTTGCATACAAAGGTTAATTTTATCTGTATTCTTTCACTGTGTTTAATATTTCACAAACGTTATTGAAGTCATTATTTCCGTTAATATAAAAACGTGAGATAAGCCACATTTTATATGATAATTATTTTATTGCAAACAACGGACAATTGCCTTTAATTTCAAGAAATTTATCGGGTTTTCTCAATGATTTAAATATTAGATTTGTGTGGCAATGGTATGTTGTGCAACTGACCGGCGATCCTGTCCTCGTGCGCCTGTATGTCTGCCTCTACGAGCTGGTGCTTCTTCATCAAGTTCTGCACGGAGGCCAGGTCTTTGCCGGAATCCTCGGACGTCAACAGGCTCTCCACCTGTTAGAATATATCTATTAGTTATTTGTTTTTGCCTATCTTTTTAAATTATGTTATAGATGCTTCTGAAATAATTTGTTCTTGATTCTAGGTCTAATATACAGGTTTTCCGTGTATACCTCTCCTAGCCAGAAGTCTAGGTCCTTGACAGCGGCGATGTAAGTACGCTGCTTGTTGGCCTCCTTCAGCTTGAGAGACTTCTCCGTCGTCTTCTGCGTCAGGAATTCCCACTGGTCTGCGATCGACGCTAGACGAGCCTGCACACAAAGTATACACGTGAGTAAGAAATATAAAAAGTGTCTATGTTTTTATCTGATTTTAGTTGTACTAAAGTATTAAAATGAAAAGATTGTTAATTACAAAATTTCATTGTAATTTGCTTTTTTAACCATTATTATAAGACGTAGAAAGAAGCATTTATTACTTTACAACTCAAAAATGCTTAAAAATCTTCTAAATGTGTTTGTAGTGTATAGTAGTATTCAATGAAAACTTGAAATTATATTTACACAATTCACTGGCTGATTATTGTCTATTCTTACTCGAGACTTCGACGGTGTATAATTAAAAAACAACAATAAATAGTCTATGTGTTGTGTATACCTGTACGGCGTCCTCGCTGCCGCTGCACTGTCCGCGCTGCACGAGGTTGCCGCCCATAGCCAGCACGGACTGGATGCGCTCCGCGTTCGCCGCCAGCTCCGCCTCGAACGCCTGGTGCTTCTGGTGCTTCGACTGGATGTTGGCAGGATCCTGTACAGTGTTATATATCGTAATATATTATGTAATTTCAAAAGATTTACGATTAGTTATAAAAATTGATGTGAAGAAATTTGAATACAAAAATTATTGCCAACGTTTTTCATTTCATATGGTAAATGAAGATAACATATCTTCAATTTTTTTATATTGCAATATAAAAACTTAGTATGGTATTGGTATGTGTTGTT